TGTTTTTTTTGGAAAAAAAATGTTTTTTTTTTTTTTTTTTTTTTTTTTTTTTTTTTTTTTTTTAAAAAACCCCCCCCCCCCCCCCAAAAGAAAAGAAAAGAAAAGCGTAGAGGTCCTCACTGGTTCTTCAGGTCTGCACTACAGGGTCAGAGAAACTGCCCCTCTATCTACCAAAGGGGCTTTATCCACCTCAATACTCAGTTTAAAACTGTTCTTCATCCAGACTTCAGTTTTAATGTATTACTAATTACAAAGGCTTCCCAATACAAGATTCATGTGTGTTATAAAACCTTACTTTTCTTGCTGAAGTCGAAACATTCAGCATATCCAATTAGTGCAAGTTAGGTTAACATCACACAGTAACTGATCCTACTAGCATATGGAGAAAATCTGCATTTTAGACTCCATTTGGGAGGATACAGGAGTGGAAGAGGGGGAGGTCAAACCTTTTTCCTCCCAAAACTTCCCTTCTGTTACAAGCTACAGATTTGTACAGATAAACAACTTGTACTCCAGTCTGAGCTTCATAAAGTTCAGCTACAATAAGTAACTAGCAGTCAGTTTACAAGAGAGTAACAGTTAAATGTGCATACAGAAACTGCCTTGTTCTCCTCTGGGTGTTTAAAACGTGGGCAAGTTTAGGGTATTAAGCGAAGCAAGCGTTCTAATCTCTGGCAGCTCAACGTCTATGCTACTTTGAGGCTGTTATGCTGCAAAAATCGCAAACAGAGGTCAAATTTAGAGTTATCATTTAAAATGAAGCCTGAGAAGTTCAAATCTGGCATAAAACTCACGGTAGATGACTGTGGAATATACCTTGTCACACCTTACCTCCAGTTACATAGCGCTATAAGTTCACTTCACGTCCTGTTTATAGTGCATCAGCCTTCATTGTATTTCTGCTCACTGAAACGCAAGCTCCATGTGGGAGGCTACAGTAAAACAGCTAGCTCTTTGTACCTTGCAGTACCTTGCTCTGCAAAAAACTACCAATTACAGATTTTTCAAAAGCCTTGATGAAAGTGAAGCCCTACCTCATATTCCTATAATACTACCTAGTAGGAGCTATATTTAAGATAAATTTCACTACATTTACAGTGCCTAATAAGATTTTTCAGTCAAAGTACCCACTAGTTATTTCTCGGATTCTGAAATCTTAGTTCTTATAATTATTTAATTTAAATCCATTTCACTAAGGAAAGCAGACCTATAACTGCAAGCTCCTGAAAATCTCATTTCAGTGAAGTTAAGGCATGTGCTCCTTAAAAAGGAGAATGAGTTACCTGGTAACATAAAGCATTTTATAAAACTGTTTAGTTTTACCTTTTGTAGCATCCAAAGATTTAACCATTGCAAGGAAGTCTGAAATCTCTTTGTTGAGTCTTTGTTGACATGCTTGTGCTTTCTGGAAGAGAGTGAGGACAGCAAAAGGCACTTCTGAAATAGTTAAGTATATATATTATCATATATATATATATATATATGTATGTATGTGTGTGTATATATGTATGTATGTACACACATACACTTCTCTAGTATACTGAAGTTTTTAAATTTGGAGAGCATTAAACATCAACAAAGAATCCCAATGAAAGAAACTGCTATATTAATACTGAAAGGAGTTATTTCAAGTACCTTCAAAGACATGCAAAGCAAACAGAACAATCATGTGCATAGTGACCAGCTTTTGTTTAATTTAGCATTGCAAACCAAACCCAAAAGCTGTGTTGGATGTTCTACTTTTCCAGTTTTTCCCCTTTTTAGTTAAAAAGTTTGAGAATCTAGGAAAAGCCATCGCTTGCCCTTTCACAAATCTAAATCAAAAATAAGCAAATGCGTAACTTAGCTGACATCTAGCTTTACTTGGAGGAAATTCAGCTTTCTGTTGCTTAACTAGTGTCACCTTCAAACAACTGTACTTTTACAGACCAGTACACAGCCTTCAAGCACTAGGGATTTCACAGCATAAGTTTTTAAAGATCTAATAAAGCAAGCTTAGCTGAACTAGAGCAGTGTTATTCACCCCTCATTGACCTTCTAAGATGCCACTTCTCCAGTAAAAACAAAATTAGGGCAATGGCTTTTTAATTTATGAGCAGACACTAATGGCAGCTATAGAAACTTGAAAGTTTTTTCACCATGTTATAGTCAGCCACCTCAAAAAGATGAGGATGACGTTTTTCTATACGGAATTACATTTGGAAACAGTTATCCATTTCCCAATGGAAACAGTTACCCATTTCCCAATCCATTGTTGGGCAGGATCTTGCCATAAACTATGAAGTCCAGAAGTGACTGTACACTTTGTTGTTGAGTGAACTTCAAAAGCTGGGCTCTGCACCTGTCCATTAGCTAGATACACACCCGAGGAAGCACACCCTGTTGAACATATATCCCCCCCTTCCCACATTATGACTGGCTTGTTCGTGGTATGACATGATTTGAACATATAAAATTCTTTTGCAATGCTGTAGTCTTTCCTTCTTTTAAAAAACCAAAAAAAAAAAATCAAACTGCAGAGTAGTGTACATGAGTGATAGACTCCATAGCCTATCACTTCTTCTAAAAGGTCCTTTGATGTGTGGATATTGCCATAGAAGTACCAGGTCTATTTTCAGCAGCAGTCAAGATGACAAATGCATTAGAAGAGGAAAAGAATGATATTGACACAGAATAAATCCCTATCTGCCCATATAATGGATCTTGAAAAATGACCCAGTATAGGAGTTTATTACAGTTCACCACTCAGCACATAACTGATTTACATTCACTACAGCACAACAAAAGAACCAGAGGCCACCAAGTCCTCATCAGGCAGCAGGCTGCAAACAATGACAGTTTTCTCTTGTTTGCAGCAAGAAGTACAGGACAAAAGCATAAATTGACCAAAAAAAAGGGGGGGGAGGGGTAGGGGGCAAAAATCATTGACTGCGGATCCACTGACATTAAAGAGAATATCTAGCTGATGCCTCAGATTCAAGAAATCCCAAAAAAATGGGCTGGAAGAAGGCAGAAAGTCATCCTATGCTTCCTCTGTCTGTTCTACTCTTTTAGACATCTCCTAATGCTCCCTGTTGGTAACTAGCTATCAGCTTGGAAGACTTGAGCTTTGATCTGCTACGGCTGCTCTAGCGTTCTTAACCCAAAGTGAAGTGGAAATAAGAGAGATTTGTAGTGCTTGTTTGTAGCCGTGGCAGAGGGGAACACGCAGAAGATACTTCGTAAAGGCTTAATTTGAACTGACAGTGAATTGATACCACTAACAGTCACATTTCCATTAGCCTTGAAGTTGGGGGGAAAGAGAAGAGGAGGAGAAAGATGTGTGTGCTGAAGCACTGCCCATGCACTTTTAACACGGAATGACATGTTTTGGCACTTCCGTGTACCTTCACTGAAGCTCAGATGCAAATGTGTGAAGACTAGTGGAACTGTAGCCTCTAAAAATAGAGGAAACTAACAGTGAGGGCTACCAAGCAACAGCAAGGGATTCAGCAAAACAATTCTTTCATCAGTTTAAAAAACAAACAAACCAAAAAACCCCTGAGTTTCAAACTTGCAGAGCTACCTAAAGGCTCCTCCAAATTTGCTTGAGAAAGTCTGAATATTCTTTTTTACATTTTATTTACAGTAATCCAATCTGTCTTCAAACTGTCTAAAGCTATATAACTCCAAAACAAAGATAATGGTAAATCACCTATCAGAAATAAGATTGCTAAAATACAACATACAAAAATCACACACACTACTAGAGCATCTCTTCCACAAAATTGAGATTGTTTTGAAAGTTAAGTCAGCTGCAGTATTGAAGTGCACACTAGTATTCTCGTTTTACCACACAGCAGCAGACTGTCAAGAAGCCTAAAAAAAAAGTTTCTGAAATTCTCCTACACTGTTAAAATCTTTTAAGTTTCAGTTCAAGCTACTCACACTTCCCTCCCTTCTCGCCCCTTTCAATTCTGGGAGAAACGGGGACTAAGCCTGTAGTGAACTGAAGAAAGAAGCTGGCAGGCCAACTGTGCACCTTTTCTACTCCATGAAGTATCACAAGTGTGTTTCTACAGAAAATTACTTTTATTTCAAAGACAGTTGACTGAGGAAACAGTCATTACATGTTACTTCTGAAGTTTATTATGTTAATTTGTGCAATTAGTTTGAATAACCCAAGTTTTTCCTGAAAAGGAAGCCTATCAAGCCCAATGCCAATCAATTTGGAGGCCAAGAGCAGGCTTCTGTGGAGTAATACACAGGGGCCCAGTGCACCAAAGACAAATCACATGATAAACAGCAGGACTGCACTGACACAACCTGCTGAATAATCCAGAACCCAGCTGCAGAAGATGACTGGCAGGAACTGCTGAAGGGAGTAATCACTGAGTTCTCCTAAGGCCCACACTTCTTGGCAGCCCCTTCTTCAGTGGGCTGCTGGGAACTGCCAGCACCAGGTATCCTCCCATCTCCCTTCTGCCATGAGCTATTTTGAGCTCTTCCTTTTATACCACACAAGGTAAGGTACAAGTCACATGGTGCTCAGTTAGATGAAGATTTTTGTGTTGCAGTGTCAGAAGTTTTGCTTACATATACTTCTAAGACCCTTCACTTCAAGGTGAAGTATGGCAAAGAGCAAGAACCACAGGTTGGATACTAGAACCATCAAAAGACTCATCCCCCACAGGAAGTCTGAAGAATCACTGTACAGAGGACCTGATGTGACCTGGGGTGCTAAAGGCTGATCCCTAAGCTGTTTCATTGCCTGTTTTGTAGAGGTTCATATAGCTGAAGGTTACATTTGGTCACACCAAGGCTAGAGGACAACAAATCAAGTATATGAGGCTCCCTCTCCTGGCCAAGAGTCTCAAACAATTTTCTACCTTGCAGTAGGGCTGACAGAAGTGAAAAAAGCAATTCCTGTAGCTATGATAAACATGCCATTTTATACATACAGTCTAAACAGGAATATAAGACAGTAAACACTGCAAATATAAGCAGCATTTATGTAACTACGGGAAGAAAGAATCATTATTTTTGGCCAAAAGCATACTTGAGTGTTCCAACACAAACCAGCATTAATCTGCAACTGCTTAGATCCATGAGCAGCACATACTTTCAGAGTTTCCTGAAGGTCTGTAACCGATACTGCATCATCTTCCTCATCATCACTACTGAGCTGTTCCTGTGTGCAGTAGTGAGTGCTATATGCAGAGTGGTCTTCTATCGCTTCCAGCCAACCCTAAACAGAAAAGAGACAGAGTTAATACGTATTTCCAAAGCTGCACCCAAAAGGCAACAGCAGACATGAAAGAAAATGAAGTGTTCTACTGACAATGAGTAAGATATTCAGTAGTAACAAGAGACACTTTAAAATGAAGGGGAAGTAGATTATTGAAAATGCTAACATATCACACTCAAGATGAGACACACTGTGGTCAGAGTGCTACCTAGGACTTGCTTGATCAGGTTTTAAACACAAATGCCACACACCCCTCTAAGCCTATCCAAGGTTCCGTAACAAATTGATGTCACTCTTAAAGAAACACTGTAGGGAATTTCTCTCTCATTTTCTACTTTCTATTTTGACACCAAAGTCTCTGTGACAGTCTGCCTTCCTATGCATGACAAACTGTGTGCAAAAACTAAGCGCTACTGTAACTGAAGAGGTAGATTCTTCTCCTCCTGTTGCCTCCACCCCTACATCATCTCTAGTTATTACACCAACAGACACAGCAATAACTACACTACAAAAAAGCCCTTTTTAAAAAAAAAAGTCATTCTCTTGTTGCAGATCCACTATTTTTCAAATAGCATGTATTAGCTCATCTTAGAGCTTGGCTAAAAGTAGAACGTATTATTAAAACCTTTTTTTGTTTGTGATAACAAATTATGAAAGAAAATGCAACAGAGGGAAGTTGCAATTAAAAAAAAAAAAGAAGTTAGACTAGGGGTCATAGTACAGGAACAGAAATGGAAAACAAGACAGAAATTTTTAACAGAATCACATGCAATGTAATCTATAGCCATGCTAAAAGATTCAATACATGCAGACACATCACACTGTCCTGATGTTCAAGATACTGAACCCACTGCTTAGGCATCTATACCTAGCTGTGCAAATTATTTTTTTTAATTATAGAAGTTATTGCAACTTAAAGCCTTTAACAGAGAGTCACTGTTACCTCTCTCGTTTGAGGAGGAGCGTTATTTTTAGGGATCTTGAAACGATGAACAGTGTCATCAAAACATCTGACAGAAAAGAAGCAACTGTCTGTAGATTTTACCTAGAGTGATGGGGAGAAGTGGCAAGAATGAGTTTAAAGAATCTGAAAGAAATAAAAAAAGACAAAACTGTTGTAAAAGTAAGCAAAGTAGAGAATTACTGTCAACTCAGAACTTTTTGCCTCAGTTTTGATGCAAAGCAAGGAGAGAAGCTTTATCAGAACAGTTTTGCAAAGTGTATTACCTTGCATTTTCTACCTCATGGATGAAAATACTGAGGTTCTTCAGGTCAAGAAATATTTGCACAGCAACACTGGATTCAGACAAAGTTTCAACAATGGTGCAAGACAACTGAGATTAAGGAATTGTAGATAATAAAAAGGTAAGAATCACTGTCTATATAGCAACAGCATAAATAACCATAGCTTAACAGAGAATTTTGTAGTGCCAATTCACAGAGCACTGACAAGTTAGCTAAAGAAGAAAGTACTGAAATGATCCTAAATTCATTCTCCTTGAACACTTCCATCTTTCTCTGCATTATATACCCTTCTTTCTCTCCCATACGCTTATGTGATGAGAAGGGCTGAAATAATTATTCTGTTGCCTGAAGTCAACTATCACATCGGACTTGTTTTTCCTGTCTTTTCTCCATCCCTTCCAAAAGGGAATCCCACTAGCATAACAACTTCATTGGAAGAAGGTTTTCCAGAAGTCACTTTCAAAATTTCACTTCTCTTAACTGAGATAAACTTAGTTACACGTTCATTCACAAGTAGCCAGTGAAAGTTACAGGAGGAACTAGAGCTTTGCTATTCTACATCACACAGTTCAAACACCCCATTTTGCACAACTGAAGAGGCGTGCTTTATAGGATGCCGTACGCTTATTTATGCACTTAAGACTTTGGAAAGATATGAAAGAGCTAAACAGTCACTTTACATATTGAATTACTTGGCTTGATAAGAATGACAAAGTGTTTCTCACAACAGCGCATTTTAGTAATAAAGGCATGCTTACCAACCTAGCCAAGGATTTCATTGTCTATGTAAACGACACCACCATATACAAAACCAGTAGTTACAAGTCTCATTTCACTTCCTACCGTGCAGACAGCTTGCGTTAGATGCTTGCATCCCTGACGATGATCATTATTTACTGCATCAGATCTTTGAAAGAAAAAGAAATGTAGTAATGCGAAGAAGGGAATTACTTAACTCACTTATTAGAAATTTAAACATAGAACTTACTGTCTCCGATACCAGGAAAGGACTCCATGTTCTAGTACTACCCAGTACAGTTTCCAACCAAAAAATCGGGAGCTCTAAGGGAGAGAGGGTTAACAGCTGAACAGTTGCTATTCACAGCAGGTTTGATAGATTGAAGACTATTACATAAAACTGGCTGTCTTTAGGACATTTCGGGTGTTATCTATTATCTTCCTGATCACAACAATCTGAGAATACTTTATAATTACGGTATTTTCTCTTCTGGAAGCTAAGAAATGCCTGAAGACAAGGTTTTATTGATCTTGCTACTCAGTAGGAAATACAAGTATGTAAATACTGCATTTTTTAATGTTAGAAGGGTTGCTGATCACAGTACAATTTCACTTTATACAAGAAAATGAGAAAAAAATGTTAATCTAGCTAACTGCAACATTTTACCTTTCACAAGCATTAATACATAGGTTTCATTCAGAAAACAGTTCCTCGTTTTACAATTCTGTGCGCATATATAGGAAAACTTACACTGAAGAAAACTTCACAAAGTCTTCAAAGATTCCATAGAAGACGACCAAAATTAAGTGTTCATGTATAAGATTCAGAAAAAAATTCTCTTTATTACAAGGAGAAAAAGGAAATTCACTTGAAGATCAGAGAAAAACAAGTATTTGACTTACAACATCCCTACAAGTTTTTAAAAATCTGACAGAAGGTTAACTTGTAGCAAAACGTTAGTCAAATAAGTTATTAAACATTTAAGATATCTATGCAGGAGAGGAAAAAGCATTCTGCCCATCATACAGATAGGATACAAAACTTTACCTAAGTGAAACTATGCCACGAAAATTACCCCCTCAAAAAAAAAAAAAACACAAACACACACACACAGATGTATTTTAGGGACTGAGGTTTTTAAGATCAGAGTGCCCTGAATCTAGTTACTGCTCCACTTGGCCAGACCAGCTATAACTTAACTTTTATTCTGATATATTGGATAAGTCATCTAGCAACTGTGTTATTGAAAAGCTCTCTCATCTGTCAACTGTAACTTCAGTATGTAAAATAACCTAGTGGGAAATATTATAAGCTTTGTTTTTAGAAAAAGAAGTAAAACATACCTTCCATAGGAGACCTTCATATCGTCTCAGGGGTTTGTTGATAACCTGCACAGAAATTAAAACTTTTATAGAAATAGCTCCAACTAACCAGTCTTGGAAAGTGGCATTTTAAATGGATATAAAAGTGCCTACCTTTCCAGTTTTACCTCCCAGAATGTGTTTCATTTCTGCACCTTGGGCTAGATCAAGGGGCGTCTGATCTGTTTAGTAACCAAGACAAGGCATGAGAATTTGATGTCAATAAACCTAGAGGCACTTAACCTTTAATATAATTTCTCTGACTAAAGTTTGGTCCCACAAGCATCTGAATTTACTGGGGATGACAAACATAAGCTTCTCAGGTGGAAGATGAAAAAGGCTCTTCAGTGCACTGAACTGCCCTTCAGTTCTACTAGCTATGTAAGGGGCCTTTGTTCTTAGTTATTTAAGTTAATTTTTAGCACTTCAGCTATGTAAAACAATTCAGAATATTCACAAATATCAAAATAGAGATGTCTTAATAAAGATGATGAGTACACATTCTGCATAATATCTGTATAAAGTTTTCCTGGATTTGCTTTCATTATAATCCTCCTTCTGAAGAGTCACTTGCCTATGCCAGGCCTTCAGTCTTATCATGTTTTTTTTTTTTGTTTGTTTGCTATCCATGTCCAACGTACAATGTTTAGTATCAAGAAAACGAAAACCAAGCAGTTCTCACGGTTAAGAAAAAGGGCAAGTGAACTTTCAAGAAACTGTACGTTAAGAGTTGCAGCAAAATACTTGCCATGCAGCCTTTTCTTTTTCCTAAGTACCTTGCAATTTAGTCACTGTTAGGTTTCCTTTATTAGCAATACAAGATTTGTAAAGCACTGTAAGACTTTCCCTGAACATTAAGTGGTAACATAGCTTATAGAAGCTTTATATTCCTGCATTTTCTTAGCACTTTGTGGACTTTCATTTGGAACTCACCATTTTTGTTTCTTAATTTGGGATCTGCTCCATTTTTCAGAAGTTTTAAGGCACAGTGCTTGTGGGCACGGTACGCTGCACAATGCAATGGTGTATTTCCCATCTGATCTGTACAGTTGATATCAGGAGGTTTTGGCCTGTTTAACTGAAAAAACAAAGTTTTGTTTACTCCCCAGATGCCACTTTCATTGTTTTGGCTGTTAACTACTCCTAAACCCAAAGAGCACTTCAGTGTAGATCTAGCAATGAAGAAGGCAGGTAGCGAATGTTACAAGAAGGGCAAGAACTAAAATAATCGAGCAAGATGTTCAGCTACGCTAAGGGACTTCCTATATCCTTCCCACCTCTACTGCACAACTTGGAAATATTTCTACCGCTAAGTTATACAGTGCCGGAGAACATTCCCCAGCACTACAGTTCAGTTATCTATATTGCTAGAAGTCTAACTATTACGGAAACTTTTGAAAGTTTGAGCAGCTATGAAATTGAAGGAAAAAAAGCTTTTGAAAATTGTTCCCTATCCCACCAAGAACATTGGCATGATGCTATTAAACTCCCTAAAAATACTGCTACGCTTCTGCTCAAATATGTGGCTATTTGATGCGTACATACAGTATCAGACATTAAAATTAAGCTTCTAAAACAAATGGGACTGTCTTAATAGAAAGACTAAGTAGCTTTTCAGCAGTCTTAAGAGACTAGATTCACAGATGCATGGCAACAATTTTAGAGAAACCCAATTTAAATCTTTTGCATTTGCCATACGCTATATTAGAGAAATCACTCCAAAATAAATTGCTGCCGTGGGAATCCTGTTAAGTCAGCATCAACACTAACCACCTTAAACATGCTTCAGAAATAGTTTGCCCTAAAGGATAAACTACTGTTATTTACAGTTCAACTGGGAAGAGAATATAAGTCACAGAGGGACAGTTTGTAGAAGCATAACCTCATTAAGGTCTTAAATACTTGAGTTCTTGAGTCTTCTTAGGTTTTAGTTCTTTTGGACTAGCTGTTTTACAACTGTTCTATCTCTGCCCTTTCCAACTCCCTTGCCTGAATACCTGAATACCTTTTAAACCATATCCCTGTGCTTTCAGCAGCTTATACCTTGTATAGCTAGTTTCACTAAGCTAGAAAGCTCTCCAGACATTTCAGCAAGCATACGGTAAGTTTCCATGAACTCACAGGAAGAAAGCAGTTACTGTCTTTGTCTGAAGGCGAACCAGGGTTACGATTAAGCTACTGAACGTCTACGTTTTGGTAGCTAAGCATACTGTGATCTAATGAGAATCTTGACAAGAGAGAAAAACAAGAGCCACCATCAGTATTTGACTTTAAGAAAATACATCAGAAGGAGCAGCTAGAAGGTAAAAGTGCATGCAGGGAAAGGGCAGGGGGGAAGCCCAAAGTTCAATTACAAAGTTTAGAGAAACTATCCTATTAAATCATCTCTTCCTAAAAATCGCGTTAAAAAACAAACAGTACAGTCTTTTTACTGGTAAAAATATCAACATAAACGAAACAACAGTAAAGAGGTATCTTTCAAGTAAGTGAAACTCTGTTCCAAAAGTAGGGCTGTAGAGAATAAATTCAGGTGTATTACGTCTCACAATAAAGTAGACTAAAGCAGCTAAAGGTGTTACATGAGCAAAGTAGCTTGTAATTTAAAAAATTAGACTAGGAGCAGAAAGTCCTGAACATCAGCAGGCAAGCGTAAGGAACTCTCAAGACAAAGGGCAGTTCACAAGAAGTACTAATCAAAGGGCGGGAAAGTCAGAGAGGTTTATACCACAGAACCATTTTGGAGTGGAAAAAGTTCTTCAGACTTGGTCTAGAGTCAGCAAGAGTTTTCACATTTTAAATGGTCACAGGTCCAAATACTAACCTAAAGATTCCCAGGAACAACCTATATAAATGTAGTGAACTATTAACTGGCTTAAATCCAGCCCCCAGATCACAAAGAAGTGTAAGTACTTTAAAAAGTTTTAGAGGTCAACATATAGCTGTTGACCTCACATATACACTGCTCAGTGATACTAATATAAAAATAACTTACAAATGAAAACAGTTTATGGGAAGAGATACATGGGCATACGTGGTTATATGTCATATGAGAGAAAGCACTAAGTTCTTCAATGACAAATTCATAAATATTAGGAATCACCTTTTTCAGATCAGTTTAAGGCTTAGTCAACTGGCATGCAGTGTCAAATGCAATGGGATAAGAATTACCAGAATCAGACCAGTTATACTAGTGTATTAATTACAATTAATACAATTACATCAGTATATTAATGCATAATTCTTCCACATATTAGCTACTGTGTACAGTACTGGTTCTCTCTCTATTTCAAGAGAGGATAGTACCAAAGTAAAGATAAGAGTAACAAAGATGAGAGAGGATTTAAGAACCATTTCTGTGCAAGAAGGAGTTAGACAGACGAGGGTTCTTCAACCTAGAAGGGACAAATTTAAAGGAGGATCAACAAACCAGAAATTTTGAACTCTGGCTTTGAGGCAAAGAAACAAAGAATGGCAGAATTCTAAACATACAAGTCTTACATTTGAGAATTTTCTACTAGAAATAAAAGATCTCAGACTGCTTTGGTGTCTTAAAAGGTAATACTAAAGGTGCTAACCTTGTGGAAAAAGTCCTACACTGTCCTCTTACTTTCAAAGAAACTCTTCAGGGTTCCCAAAATCTTCAATTCAAACATCCAGACCCTGCTTCTCTTATAGCCTTACTATACCATGGTATCATTCCATTTGAATTAACAAAAGAGCATGTGCGCGCATGTACAGTTTAAGTCTTGTTCAGTGTGGAATTATGCTGTGCAAATGACTGTTACAAACAACAGTTACTTCAGCTGCAATGGACGCTAGTGACAAAAGCTTATTTTCAAAATTGAAAATACTCCATACTGTGGTGAAAGCTTGAACACTCATGACACTTACTATATCTATAAAAACATATTAAGCTTACGTCAATATCACAGAATGGTTTAGGTTGGAAGGGACCCCTGGAGATCATCTAGTCCAACCTCCCTGCTCAACCAGGGTCCTCTAGAGCGCGTCGCCCAGGATCACGTCCAGACAGGTTTTGAATATCTCCAGAGAAAGACTCCACAGCCTCTCTGGGCAACCTGTGCCAGTGCTCACTCACCCTCACAGGAAAGAAGTTTTTCTCAGGTTTTGATGGAGCTTCCTGTGTTTCACTTTGTGTTTGTTGCCTCTTGTCCTGTTGCTGGGCACCACAGAGAAGAGTCTGGGCCCATCCTCTTGATACCCTCCCTTCAGACACCTATACACATTGATCAGATCCCCCCCTCAGTCTTCTCTTCTCCGGGCTCAACAGGCCCAGCTCCCTCAGCCTTTCTTCAGAGGAAATGCTCCAGTCCCTTCATCATCTTTGTAGCCCTCCGCTGGACTTGTTCCACTAGCTCCATCTCTCTCTTGTACTGGGGAGCCCAGAACTGGACACAGGACTCCAGG